TTCAGCGGTGGGAGACTTGGGATACGCTTCGTGTGACGCGACGAGAAGAAGGGAGGAAGGATTCGTCGCGCGAGGCGTTGAGGGGGTCGGGCGACGAGAGCAACTCGTCATTGCTCACGGCGCGTGGCGTGGCCATTTTGGTGACGACCATGCGGTGAGGCAGGCGCGATGCCGTGTATTGTTTTCGGTGGTTCTGGTGCAAAATGGGAGTGTGTTTGACTGCGTAGCTGTCTGTTGAGTGATCTTAATGCCGAGAATGATGCAGCAGCGCGCGTAACGTGCAATGCTCAAGAATGGGTGCGTGATGCAATCCTCAGTGTTGAGATAATGGTGGTGTGGAACGTGCTGGGAGTCGCGATGTGGGGTGACAGGCACAGGGTCCAGGTCCAGGCACAGGCGGGAGAGGCTGCTACGTTGTTTACTTTTGGCTCCAGCAGGCTAGCGCGCCGGGCGTGCGCCGCGATGATTTCGAGCCCAGGGAAGGACCCCACCATCTCGATGCCTGGTCACGTGTCCCGAGTCGACTCGATGCTTCGCTCTCATCGCTGGGTGAAGATGCATGGCTTACGGCTCCTATCTACAGCTTCTTCGTTGCTTCCATGCAACAACCACGAGACGGCTTCACGCCCCTTGCCCCTTGATGCTCATATCCGAAAACGCCTTCAAATCCTCATCATCCTCCGAAGCAACGTCCAGCGTCTCGTTCAGTGAGCCAGTTCCCACAGACAATGTGTCGCTAGAAGCAACAGATTCATCGCTTTCCAGATAGTGGTCTGTTGCCGACTGGATTCGATAATCCTCAATGATCTCTCGAATGCCTCGTTGCAGGCTTTCAATCTGACGCTTCCTGTATATCTTCACCGCTAATGCCGAAATCACCGGTATCAGCGCGTTGACGCGCTTATGGACCAACCGTCTTCTCGAAGAGCCCGACTTGACGCCTGTCCGGTCGCGCAGGCCGCGCAACTCGCTTTCTGCAAGAGGTTGTACGTACTCCCGCGAGGCCTGTCGGATCTGCTGCCGCGTGACAAACTTTCCGCCAGTGTGGAAGGCCCGGTCCATGATGATGATGAGATCGCATGCACATTTGACGACCATCCGCGCTGTCACCGGGGCCTCGAATAACGGTGCCGCAACTAAGAGCGACACGTCTCCGATGGCTACGAAGAATGACCGTGCCATGAAGGAGGAGAGGTTCCTCCACACAACCGTGCTCATGATATTGTCGACCTCCTCCTCGCGAGTGAGTCCGCTGGTGGTCATGCGTGTCAAACCAAAGGATCGGACGATAGCGTTGCAAAGAAGCCGCGAATACGTGGGCGCCGAGATCCTGTTCACAACGACAAGCAGAGCCCCCAAGTTAGAGGCCGTGACTGCTGTGCGGAGCAAACGAACAGTCTCTTCAACTGCCAGCGCAATCTTGAGATCTAGATCAACTACTTGGGCTGCTACCATACCTGAACGAAGGCTCTCAGAGTTGAGTGGCTCGAGGGTCAAGTGCATCAGAGCCATGATGGACTCTCGGTTGTCTGTGACAGCTTGTCAGCACTCCATTGACTGCCCAGTAAGTTCCTTCGGAGAGGGGAGCAAGCAGCTGCATGCTCGGGTCTCGTGTTCTTACCTCTCGAGACGAAAGTCACCTTGATGTCCAGTTTGTCGTTGGCGTCGGCACAATCTATCGCCAGCCTCTTCTGCCAACTTTGTCGTTTTTGCAGATCACGAGCGATGTCCAGCTCGCGTTGTGGCTCAGGGGCTCGCCCTGTTTCCAATGCTCGGATTTCTTCCCTGCTCAGTTCGGTCTCTTGCCTGAGGAACTTATCCTTCTTGGTCCCGACGAGGACGACTGGAAGAGATGGGGCATACTTGGCAATGATTCCAAGAACGAGTTCAAATGCGGCTTCGATGGGCCGGCTTGTGTCCATATCATTGCAAATCCTTTCAGTCAAAGAGTCAGTGCGTCGCTCAGTATGTTGCCATCAACCTCCACGACAACCCTGCGACCCCAGGGGCATGAACTTACCAGACGGCATGCAGCTGATCCTTCTCTGGGGCAGAAGAACCCCGTTTCTTCAGGAACATCTCAAAAGCCTGAACGCGTTTGATGTCACCCGCCTCGAAGCCTTCCGAATCGTGAATGATAATGCCGGGATATTGATCTGACTCAAACCCTTGCTCCATGTCATGAATTCCCCGCGTGTCCTCATTTTCTACAGTCTGGTAACATTATGGGTCAATTCCTATGCTTCGGACCAAGCAGGCTGCATGCTTACCATTTTCATGCCGAATATGCGGTTCAGCAACGTCGACTTGCCCACCCCGCATCGACCGCAGATGAGGATGCGCACTTGCTCATATCGAGTCTTCAGCGTACGCTCCAGCAACCAGGGAAAGAAATTGCTGTGCTCGGGCGACTGGAATTGGCTGCTAAAGTCTTCCAGTCTGTCTTCCATCTTCTGCAGAGCGTCTTTGATGCCCAAGCTAGGATATGTGTCCTTCAGAAAGTAGACTGACGGATGTATGATGGTGCCATACGGATCTGCATTTACCCGCCATTAACATGACTTTTTCCATCAAGACGATGAGGGCCGTTGGGAGCGTACCATGTTCGTTATAACCCGCCACACCCCGCTCGTCAAACACTGAGCGCGGGCGCCGCTGGTAGCCCGTGAATAATTTATCCGGTGGATTCAGTCTTACTTCGTGAGAAGCCTTCTCCACATGACCCTTCTTCTTCAGCTTCTTCCCCTGTCTTTTCTGAAGGTTGCCATGGCGGTGGGAGGCTCGCAAATCAAACATGTTGACTGTGATACCGCTGGCTAGGCAAAAGTCCCACTGACGAACCTCTTGATCAGTCTCTTTATTCGCCTCGATGGGGACGGGTCCTCCGGAAAACAGGCACGTCTTCGGAAACGGCTGGTCTGAACCGCTCTCGCTCACAATACTCGGCAGCACCAGAGAGGGCGGGTGCTCGACTGGAATCTTGTCGGCAATGTACTTTGGCGGCTTGTACTCCAGGACGAGGCCAAACTTCTGGCTCTCGAGAAGCATCCACTGCAGGGGATACAGGGACAGGCCGTCATCCCTGGCTCCCCCACCGATGTCAACGTGCCAACCAACGAACCATGCCTGGATGAGAGACTCGGCGTCCCAGCCCGGTGTTGATTCGGTCTTGTACAGCTCAGGTTGGTGCGTATTTCGTTCTTCATTCAGCGCTAGTGCGTGGCGAACGCGACGGATGGACCGCGAGTAGGAGAGGTCGAAGTCCACATCTCCTTGAGCCTTTTTCACCGTGTCGAAGAGGCCGAGGAACTGAATGGCAGGACCTTCTCGCGTCTTTTCCAAGCTGCGAACACCAGTAGTCAGTCTACGCTGGCAGTGATCGCACATATAGATCTGTTCACTGACAAAAAGTTGTATAGCTGCGATGCAGAAAGAGGCTCCGTCAGCACTACCGTCTTGGCCAAAGGGACAATCATAGCCATACCTCTCCCTGCTTGTTCGACATCTGTCTCTTTTGCTTCGCGTTCAGAAACCCTAATGCGGCTCGATAGTCCTGGTTGAACTGTCCTGTCGTCTGCTTGTGCAACGTGGCTAGATCTCGGAAGAGAGCCGACACAGCGCGCACCACGTCTCGCATTTCAGTCAGCGACACCAAGCCAGAAAGCGTCACGAGGATGGAGAGGCATCTTACAGGCGCCTCTGCTGAAGCCATACAACCAAAGCTCGTCATCTGGACTCGTCACCTCCGCACAGCAGTACTGGAGAATACCATGTCAGTATGCAGGCAAAAGCTGGCGCCCGAGCAGCAGGCTGGCACAAACCTGGTAGACATCGCGGATGAGCTCCTTGCAGCCGTCCCCTGTAATGGCATCGTTGTACTTGTCATAACTGCTCGTCTTGGTCCCTATGCCGTTGAAGTACTTGGCTACCTGCAAACGTGTGAGAAAGAGATATGGGTAAGAGACGGTTTCAGACGTCATCGGTACCTGTTTGATTGTTTTGCCGCCCTGCTCGAAAGTACCCTGCTTGACAGACGCAAAGATCCTGAAAGTGTTGCTCAGGTTTCCTGTCCCCTTTCCTACGTTTTCGCATGATCAGATCCGGTGCTTTCACTCGCGGGGGTTTTTCAAGTGACGACCGTTACCTTCTTTGCCATCAGCGTTGTACCACGTGCCGTCGACACATACCACGATCCTTTTAACATCGTGCTGAGGTCGGGACCGAAACATGCTCGACGAGCGAAACATGATTGCTGAGCATGCTCAGAGAGACTTCACTGCAAATGAGCCATCTCGAGGGAACCATTCTGAAAATGGGCGGGGAAGGCACAGCTAATAGCTGCAGGCAGACCTGCATGAGATGAGGCTGGGAACATGATCCTTCCCACCGTCCCGCAGGATTCAGCTGGCAGCGCCCACGAGCCAGGATTTGCTATTTTTGCCACTGTCGGGACGGCCCCCCAGCTCTCTTCTTGTCATTTCGCATGGGCTGCTTGCAGGGTGGTAGCCCAACAGCCGTACGGGGCCCAGCGCACCATGTGGCTTCGCCTTTTCGGGGAGCATTTCCAAGACCTACTTGGGGGCGAAGACGGGAGCGCCAGCCTGGTGATCACCACAACCATCCGATTCGGACACCGGGAGGACTCAGCATGTAGATCTCGGGGGCAATATGACAAATCAATATTCATCACGTCTGTCTCATGCTGCTGACTGCGACTGCCCTACCCCATCTGCGAGCTTGGCCGTCCTCGAGTTCTCACCCGGAACAACCACAACCGACGGCGATGGCACATCCACACCACTTGTTGACCATATCCTGGCGGTCAGCCCAGGGCTCCCGCCCAGAGAGACGGTTGGGTCTGCCAGTGCCTGTGTCATCGTCTCGGTCGCTTCCAATGAGCCACTTCACAGCATAGATGAGCTCCTTGTCACTCTGTTGGCTCGACTTCAGCGGCACCATCTGGAACGCATGAGGTAATCTAGGATACACGCTGACGCGCACCGGAACCCTGAGCGGCAAGACAAGTGGTCAGCGCTGAACAGCCAGTACAGAAAGAGCACGCGGGGGGGAGGGTTCAACAATACCCAGCTGCTTGGAGCTTGTCGATGTAGGCGAACGCATCGCACCGCAGGGGGTCAACTCCGGCAATCTGCACGTATGCCGGCGGCAGACCCGAGAAGTCCTCGGCCAGGAGGGGCGACATGCGCAGATCGTCGGGCACGGGCTTGTACCACTCGAGGCAGCGGTGCACCCCGAGGGCCGGAAGGATCGGGGCGTCCTCGGAGTCGACATAGCTCGAGAAGTCGACGCCCGCCGGGTGGACCGCCGGGTGGACCACGAGAGGTTCACGCAGGATGTGCCCACGGATGGAGACGAGACCTGTGGCCTTGGCACGTTGAACGAGTGCTGCTGTCTGGCGCGGGGGTTAGGGATGCATCAGCCTCTTTTGCGTCTTTCCACCGGAATTGGGGCTGCATATTTGACTGACAATGTTGCCCCCGGCACTCAAGCCTCCCATGATGAGGTTGTCTGGCTTTCCTCCGAGGAAATCTAGGTTGTTCTGAACCTGCGAGGTGTTAAATTGCGACCAGGCTGGCACACAAGATCGGTATTTCCTACCCAGAGAACTCCGGCCCAGACGTCCTCTATTCCAATGGGGAAAGGATGCTCTGGCGCCCTAAGATTGTTCTGTCAGCGACCATGTCGTCCCTCACCACACGCATGCAGCATTTTGCGTTGTCGTCGTACTTCCTGTAGTCTATGCTCACAACGACAATCCGGTTGCCTCTGCATACGGTGCGGCAGAACGCGTCCTCCGTGTCCAGGTTTCCAACAGTCCAACCGCCGCCATGAACGCTGGTAGGGCGCACACACCATGTAAGCAAAATGACATTCTCGAGGCCGGAAAGCGACAAGACTCACTATATCAGGACGGCGCCGTTGGTCGAGGGTTCCTCGGGCTTGTAGATGCGAACCTGGTTGGTGCCACCATCATATCCGGGCACCGGTCTGTCGGTGATCGTCATTCCGGTGGGTGGAGGCAACTCAAAAGGCAACTTCACTTGATTCCGTAACTCCTCGGGTGTACCTTTTCCAAACGAGAGCGTGACATGATCGGCAATCTGAGCCGATCAGCACATCAGACCACGTAGGCGAATGTATTTCAATAAAGTAAGCTTCGGACGAGACGCACCTCCAGCCATTCAGGACCCAAAATGTGCAGACCTGGCTCTCTGTAGGAGGTCATGTTGGCGTTGACGGATGTAGAAAGGTGCTGGAGCTACCAGAGTGTTCACAATTGAGCTTGAGGGTTCAGTAACGCAGCTCTGGAGGTGGTGGGCGCGGAAGGTGTGGGAGTGCTTTGGTATTTGATTGTATGTTAAGAGATCCATGTTTTCAAGATGGAGAAAGGAGGTGGATCTGACTTCTAATAGATCACCAGAGCGGCTGTCGACGGAGCCTTGTCCGTGCAACTGGTATTCTACCCGAGCAAAAGTCCCCCTGACACTTGAATGAATAACCTCGGAGGCAAGGCTATTCTCGCTCAGCACGGGCTCATGCTGGCCGTGCTGGTAAGTCTTCATCCTGGGGTTACGCCTCGCGTAATAAGGTGCAAGGGACCAGATAGAGGAGGCGTGGCTTGAGTATGACGGCACATGATCCAGTTGTAGCAAGCAACGCGGGGATGCTGGCGCCCCGGAGTGCTGGGGCATGATCAGTCCAAGGTATGGATCTGTGGGGTAAGTATCCCCTCGGCCGGCGTGACCATGTATATTCATTTCTTGTCATGGTGGGTTGCTGCCATCAAGAGGTTTATTTGCCGAAACAAAGTGTTGGCTGGAGCTCGGTAATGTGGCGGCATTCGGCAGTTTTCATGTCGACGAGAGTTTCCCCAAGTTCCCTCCCTTGATAAGACCACATCGAAGCGTGCGACTGGCTGGTGTGGCTTAGCAGCTTGTCTTACTTGGTATGTGGTATCGCAGCATTGAAAATGTTGCCTGCTCATGAGTCGAGGTTACTTTGCGAGCGGCCTCTCGTCTTGCAGGACCTCGTGCTGCTGCCCAAGGTACTGTCCCGGCGCTCCGCGGATGCCATGGATCATTGCTTGTGTCTCAACTGCCGTGCATGTCCGTTGTCGATGCGGGGTAGTGTGGGTTGGGCACTCCGAGCGGCCGGGGTGGACCCGGGGCGGACGGATGCTTCTCTGTCTTATGAGTGGTTAGACGAGTTTCTGGCTGGATGACTTTGTATTTTTGGCCGAGGATTGATTAGGTCGCGCTCTATAGATGTGGTTAGGTAGAAGGGTTTCCCCTTGAATTGCGTCCTGCTCAGAGCGATGATGGCCTGCGGAAATGGCATGTCCAGTGGCGCCGTCTATGAGACGCGGGTTTCTCTTGCCATACCAACTTGGTTACTGCTCGGGTGCTTCGGCCCAGGAGACGGAGCCTCGACCATGATCACGATGCATCTTCCCCTTACGAGTGGGCGAGTCGCTACAGTGTGCTATGGCCGATGCGCAGGTCGAAAGAAGAGAAAAGAACATTGCTCCATATGATTTGTCCGGCTGCGACCATCAAACTTGCATCAGGATGAACAGTCAGTACCTACCCTAGGTACAAGTAAGTAGGTAGGTGCCTACACAGCATCCCTCCAGTGGGCGGGGCAGGGGTTCAAACAGGGGCCGGCCCCTGACCCCTTTGTGCAGGGACCGCGTTTCACCGCCCTGAGCCCCTGGTGCTTCTGAGCCAAGATGCCTGAGCCAAGGCCCCAGCCCGCCCTGGTCCCTGTTGCTCAGCGGGTAGCGACCTAGGAACCTGACCTACTAGGTAGGCACCTTACCTAAGGCTATACCTTGGTCACCAAGGCGAGAGCTGGTAGGAGCTGTGGCCCCTCCAACATCTCCATCACATGTCCGAAGCGCCGTGTCTTTCGTCTCAACTTCCCTCCTTCAACGCTGGACGCAAACCTCCTCCCCTCCCCTAATGCTAATTGCCTGCCGCCATTGACACCTGTCACTCGCTTTCCTCTGCTGCCGGGCAGCCTCACCTCATCGTTTTCTCCATAGTCATCGATACACGACGACCAGGCACGACGCCCAAGCCACCTCATCCGACTACCCCTCCTCCAACCTCACCGTTCTCCGTCACGAACTCGTCGACAGTGACGCCACCACGACAGCGATACCATCACGACGGCGACCACGACAGCGACACCACGACGGCGACACCACGACGGCGACACCACGACAGCAGCCATGGATCGCTCTATGCCCCATAATGACTCCTGGTTCGACCCCCTCTCGATCGACCTCATCCTCAAGGTCCTCAAGACGACCTTCTTCCACCCCTTCATCTCCTGGGTCATCCCACTCTGCTTCCGCGCCCAGATGATGGACTGGTCCGCGCCGCCCATGCTCGTGTCCATCGCCTGGGCGAGCCTCATCACCCTCGTCTGGACCCTGTCCGCCATCAACACGCGCGTCGCCCACGGCCTGCCGCGCCACGTCGACCTCGCCGACGAGGTCATCGTCATCACGGGCGGCGCCTCGGGCCTGGGCCTCCTCCTCGCCGAGGTCTACGGCATGCGCGGCGCCACCGTCGCCGTGCTCGACCCGCGGCCCATGGGAGAACGGCGCCGCCCGCGGCGTCACCCACTACCCCTGCGACGTGTCCGACAAGGCCCAGCTCGCCGCCGCTGCCGCCCCAGATCGAGCGCGACCTCGGCCCGCCCACCGTGCTCGTCAACAACGCTGCCGTCGTCACGGGCCGCCCCTTTTGTCGACCAGTCCCTCGACGCCCTCGACCGCAGCCTCGCCGTCAACCTGCTGGCCCCCATCTACACCCTCAAGACCTTTCCTGCCCTGCCTGCTGCGCGCCCCCGACGGCGCCACCATCGTCAC